AACATAACTTTGTGCAATGCCACTGTACAGGTATCGACAGATTGTAGACCCATGCATGTTTATATGTATATACAAATAATATTAAGTTTTGCTTGTATAAACTATATGTTATTAATGAAATCCTTTACAGTTTAGTTACGAACAGGATGACGACTAACCTGCATCTGCATATCTTGAGCCCTGTCGTATACATTACACATCCTTTACTCAATCAGAATATTCTATTCTATCTTTGGTTTATCAAGAAACAATTTAATAACATTGCTCGCTCTATCACTTCTAAACCATTCCAATGTTTTGACAGAATTTTTAAGAAAGGTGGGGATGAGGATGTCGTAAAGCTATACTAACAATCATACAAAAATCATGTAAACATTAAATAGACTGATGAGAATATGACTTTCAAAAAATGTGGTTGTAAAAAAATAATAAGTGCAATGCTGTCTTTCTGACATATATTAACGTTCACGTGAAGAAATTTTATGACAAAGGTTTTTGGAATCTAAAATTGGAATTATACTGCTTTTTTGGTTTAAATAAGTGAGTAAAGAAAATTGATGAACGTAAAGTTTTTATCCAAAGATCCAACTTGAAGGATGCATATTTTTGAAATGATTGATTATCGTCCGGTAGCAAATATTTCATGCATGTTAAGGACGCGTGATTGTGTAATAAAAACAACCGAAACATTGTTACAGTAGTAGATGAGTATTTGCAAGGTATTATAGCTATTTCACAGGATATCACGTTCACCTACCTATCAACTTAAGCAGCACCGTGATACAATGTAGATAACCAAAGAGCTCCCTGCTGTTAACTTCGAAACTTGCAGGTATATTTCCATTTCTTTTCACAATTACATGCGGGCCTTTCATATCAATTACACGTATACCTTATGTAATTTCAGCATGCTGATAGACTAACTTTTTTTTCGAATTGTTTCACGGACAATCATTGAACAAGCTCTCTTGCTCTTCAGCCAAATTATTGGAACGTTAACCTTATTTCGCATATTAATCTGAGATATTCGACCACTCTTGTTGCATTCACACTTACTAATTAAACATGTCTAACATTGGACTATTAAAATGAGATGGGGAGATACCAAGGAGACTTCATGAAACCTGTTAGAAGTGTTGTTTCGATTTTCTATTTTCTTGAACAACAGTATCTAACCAACAGCTGTTATTTACCTTAGCTAGTTTATTGTAGTAGCGAGCAAATTTTACCTCTGATTTCCAAATGTATATATTCTACTGTTCCAGTCAGTGGTCACCCTGTTGGTAACTATACTGTGCATATTTTGTTTTTTGAATTGTGTGTTCTAGTTTTACGGTTTAGATTTTTAAAGGGATAAGTTATTGCTTAAGGATGTTCGCTACTCTGTTTCAAAATAACAAGCTTTTTAAAAGACTGGTATAAATTGATAGTATATAAATAAAGAAACTAAAAAAGAAGAACAAAATGAAGTGTCCGTGTGCTTGTTTTCGAGATATTACCCCATTTAAATTTGGCGGGAAATAATTCTCTCTAGATTTTTCTTACATTTAACATTGACACCTTTTTCTTTCAAAAACGATGAAAAAATAACAAGAATTTTATAAGATTTTCAAAGATGACATGATAAACTATATGTAATCAAATTATGGAAAGAAAAGTAGGGGTTAATGGGCAAATTTTTTTAATGGCACTACATGGGTAAAACCAGAGGATTCCGAACATCCTTAATATCTTTTATTTATGTAGATGACTGGAAGTCAGACTACCGAGATTGCTCGCTGTTCGTTGTTGTTTGACTTAATGTTTGTTTGCCTGAATGCTTTATTTTGTTCTTGGAGGAGTCGGTAGTGGTTGGTATGGTCTGTTGTGCTGTCCAGAAGTTTTGATGATGACCTATGGTCTTTTTGTGTATTATTCATTGATCTAACAATGATAAAACAGTATTATTTTATTGTGTCTGTTTGATATTAATGACCCAATATTAAACATTATTATATCTTGTTTTTATAAATATATATATATAAAAAACAACATACAACCACGCATCTCATAGTGCCTAATATGACCCGTCACTATTTAAATGTTTCTGCAGTTAAAGCTTGGGATGGTCATCTTAAGGATGTTCGCTCTTCCGGGTTTTTGAATTTTTGTCAGATGTTCGGAATCCTCTGGTTATACCCATGTAGTGCCATTTAAAAAAATTTGCCCATTAACCCCTACTTTTCTTTCCATAATTTGATTACATATAGTTTAAAATGTCATCTTTGAAAATCTTATAAAATCCTTGTTATTTTTTCATTCTTTTTAAAAGAAAAAAAGTGCCAATGTTAAATGTATGAAATATCTAGAGAGAATTATTTCCCGCCAAATTTTCAATGGCTTATATCTCGAAAACAAGCACACGGACCCTTCATTTTTTTCTGCTTTTTTAGTTTATTTATTTATATACTATCAATTTATATCAGTCTTTTAAAAAGCTTGTTATTTTGAAACAGAGTAGCGAACATCCTTAAGACGCATTACTTTAATATGATCAAATATAAAAGTTATTCATACATATACTAATATATTCTTATTTGAATACTTCATCAATAAATATTATGACAGAGGTGTCGTCTGGTAAAGACTTTAGCCATGGCGTTGTCAGTATATTTTCGACTTATTTCCCTTTGGTATCTTTGGCCTCCCTTTGATCTAGTAAGTATGTCTTCTGCACTGTATTTACTTCCTTTTACCTTTCGATATTCATGATAAAATACTGAGATGTGGTATGATTGTCAATGAAACAATTATCCACCAGAGTTTAAATGTCTTTTTTGAGTAACTTATATCATCAAACGACCTTTAAAATGAACAAAAACCATACCGTATAGTTCTTAATATGACAAAATGTAAAAAATTATTTTAACAAGAAAATCAACTACCTGATTTATGACAAAACAATAAACTTGAATAACATGAGACAGCAACCAACGACAACCACTCATGAATTATATGCTAATAACTTGGGACATACACATAATATACAATCTATTGGGTTACACATGTCTATGATCGCTCACCCTCCACACACAGGTGAAAGTGGTATAACAGCACAATATAAGAAACAAATTGTAAATATCCATTGGAAATGATTGCTTATATCCACGTTATTTGAACTCTGGTTGAAAGTTGTCTCATTGACAATCATATCACAACTACTTATTTTTATATTGACTTATCAAGTTAGCACGAAGCATACAAAACGACTAACATAAAGACAATGGACACAAAGTACCGTTCTAAGAGTTATTCATGTTTTCCTTATCTAAACTTTGCATAACGCTAACTAGAGAGTGTATCTTATTAAAGCTGGAAGCTCTCATTTAATACACGATTTCAGCCACGTTAGCAGCACATGTTTGTCCAAACACTCGGATCTGCAGCATCATTTTAATTGTGAAATCATGGAAAAGTTTCAACCAGCTTAGAAGGACCAACAATGACTAGGAGCCTGGAGGGATACTGTATTGGCGCATTAACCAGAGTTACCAAAAGTTGCACACGAAAAAACCAGTCCTCTACTTTGTGATTAGTAACATTAACGGTACCAATTCTTTTTGCATTTTAAGAATATTAAGTAATAACATATCACCAGATACGTTGACATTACCCAAGTGTTAAACCAAAATACGAATAGAAACAACGCTTCCTTTTATTTCTATGCTATACATTTGTCAGTCTAATTAAAATATAGAACTCATTATGGAGTTTAACGAAATCAGAGTTCTATTTATGGAGTTTAACGAAATCAGAGTTCTATATTTTAATTAGACTGTACATTTGTGTAATTGCTATATTAAACTCAGTTTATAATAGAATAGAATAGAATAGAATAGAATATCTTTTATTTCCATAAGAGGTATATATATATTTATACAGTGGAGATCACTTCTAACCTCTCATCAAATCTGTCAGAATCTGTCAGGAGAACTGTTCCAGGACAGTATGTAGAACTGTCATCCTGACACCTTTTAGACAGTTCTAGCTAGAACTGATTTGGTCAGTTCTACCTAGAACTGATTTAGACAGTTCTACCTAGAACTGATCCTGACAGTTCTACCCTAGAACAGTTTTAGACAGTTCTACCTAGAACTGACCAAATCTTTGGTCAGTTCTACGACTAAAATTGAGAATGGAAATGGGGAATGTGTCAAAGAGACAACAACCCGACCATAGAACAGTTCTACGGCTAGAACAGTTCTACGATTAGAACTGATTTGGTCAGTTCTACGGCTAGAATTGATTTAGTCAGTTCTATCCATAGAACAGTTTTAAGAACTCTTTGTCTTAAATATAAATAAGTCAAAAGAATATAATATATATTAAAAAATTGCAGTGACGTCATTTAGAACTGTTCTACAATCCTGACAGGTTTGGTCAGTTCTACGGCTAGAACAGTTTTAGACAGTTCTGCTGACAGTTCTACGGTTAGAACTGATTAAGTCAGTTCTGCTGACAGTTCTACGGTTAGAACTGATTTGGTCAGTTCTGCTGACAGTTCTACGACTAGAACTGATTTGGACAGTTCTACCTAGAACAGTTTTAGACAGTTCTACCCTAGAACTGATCCTGACAGTTCTACCTAGAACTGATTCTGACAGTTCTACTTAGAACAGTTCTAGGACAGTTTAGAACTGTTCTATGACAGATTATTCTGACAGTTCTAATGAGAGGTTAGAAGTGATCTCCACTGTAGGTATATATGTAGTATATTTTACAATTGTCAGACACATACAATGTATTGTTACGCGTTTCTAATTTAGATTAACAAATAAGAATAATATGTCAAATGGACATCGTGCTCACCAAACAAACTTACAAATAAAACTTTCTAAAACAACAACTTCAACTCTAATCGGGATCGGTGATCGGACATATAACATGCATGCCTCTTACTATTGTCGATAGGGCTTTCATGTTTATCAGCTAAGTATTTGTTTTTGCATAGATGTTAACTTTTATGCTTTAAATGTGACTGTGTAATAAAAATAATCAAGAAACAGTTATGCAAAAATTTATATGGTGACTGTGATAAATGATGCTTGACTCTACAGTGGTACTCGGTGCCAATAATCTGAGAAACGTTAAAGAGCTGAAGAAATATAAACTTTAAAACTGACAAAACATATAATGATCACATATCCGTTTATTAATTTTATAAATATATTACGACAATGATGAAATGTACATACATTATGCAAACATAATGCAAATGTGCTCAATAAAGGCTATGCAAATACGATCATGAAATGAAAATAGTATGTTATTGCCCTTTTTGTCCAGGACCAAGGTACTGCTAAATCGAGGACATACGTTATAAAATAAGGATACGAGATTGAGTTATTGAAGATACGAATTGTTATCATGGTAATCAGGTGTAGGTTACATGTTTGCGATGGTACGATTTGAACTGCACTTCGTCTGTTATGTGAAACTCTAATATTTTAAAACAAACACCCAAATAACGTTCAATTCAATTTGGTGTACGAGATATAAATCTATAATTGACTGATAACCCAATAAGATATTCACAAAGTTGTAGTTTAAAAAAAAAAAAACTTTCTATAATCATCATCATTCATTATAAACGTCAACTTTCATTTTATGCAATTTACGACTTTTCGAGTTAGTACTGATCCTGATGCCGTTGCTACACCTATCGCTGCTTTTGTAGTGGCTGCCATCCCTAAAACCCCAGCACTCTGGCACGTAGCAAACCATCCACCGCCTACAGTTACAGAAGTCTGTAAGGAATGAGAAAATTATTAAGAAGTCTACAATCAAGTGTTGTAAAATATAATTTCTCTTAAAGACGACTTGCCGTGAACTTTAATCTATTAACAGGAGTATATAAAACACAGAAACTTATCTCGATTGTTTGCTTTTTGTATTCTATTGTTGTTACTTCATAAACATACATGCATGTTATATCCTGATATCTCCTTATATTAATTTTTAATCAGGAATGTTATTTAATTGTTTACCATTGCCATTGCTCATTCATTTTAATGTCGACATCTTGCTTTCTTTCTTTGCTTACAACTAATAACAATCGTTGTCTACGTTCCCTTTAAAAACTATCTTTCAGACACATGCAAATCAATTTAAACTGGATTTTAAGAATGTTTACCTTCAACCATGCTGCCCAAGAACCCGCCATAACACCTGCTGCTCCAAACCCTACAGCACTTAATACGAAGGGTGCTGCTACAGTGGCAGTGACTCCAACAGCCGTTGCTGCGACTGTAGTTGATAGTGTATCTAAAATATATATTTATTTGTTTTTGCGTAGAAATGTTAAACCAGAAAAAGACAAGATAGTACAGAGATTAATATTGCCATTCAAAAGCCAATTGTTCTTTTAAGGACAAGAGAAATGATAACATAATTATTTATTACTCTCTACTTCTATGTAAACCATATGTAGTCGTCTCATAACGCCCCTCTGATATGAGAAGCACACATCTAATACATCAATCTAGTCAATAAAAAGATATAAGAGTTTTACTATGTCATTTAATTGTGATACATGTACCAACACTTTAAAAGATATAGAAACCATCTAGTAGAGAATTCCATGTTATCGATGGATTTTTAAAGATTGGCATATCCAGGTCAAAGATCATCAAGAAAAAGCAGGAGTACTTAGACCCCTTCAACGGAATAGCACAGGGCAGCGTAATCCGTCAAACCAATTTAAACATCATTATATATGACTAACCATGTTGTTAAAAATATATATTTATCAATTATGGACTTTTGACGAGGTCAATACGTTATATATGGACCAGTTCAGATTATATTGAACCTCGGACGAATATATGCACATGTTTAGATTATATTAGGACAAGGACGAAGTCCGAGGTTCAATATAATCTAACAGGTCCATATATAACGCATTGACTGATTGAAAGTCCCTAATTTTTATATAAAACATATGTAAATAGGGTAAGTTTGAAAATTATTGGACTCGATGTTACTATTTTTAGTAAAAGGGAGTAAATACCATTTCTAGAAATAGTAACGTCGAGTCAATTTGTCAAAAAAGAGAAAAAATACAAAATATATATTGCCGAAAAACACGTGACCAAATAAACCAATGAGAAACAAGAAAAATCAAACCATATAGATATAAGAAGATGTGGTATGAGTGCCAATGAGACAACTCTCCAGCCAAGTCAAAATTTATAAAAGTAAACCATTATAGGTCAAAGTACGGTCTTCAACACGGAGCCTTGGCTCACACCGAACAGCAAGCTATAAAGGGCCCCAAAAATTACTAGTGTAAAACCATTCAAACGGGAAAACCAACGGTCTAATCTATATAACAAACGAGAAACGAGAAACACTTATGAACCACATCAACAAACGACAACTACTGAACATCAGATTCCTGACTTAGGACAGGTGCAAACAATTGCAGCGGGTTTAAACGTTTAAATGGTACCAAACCTTCACCCTTTTTCTGAAACAATAGTGTAACATCACAACATAGTAAGACACACTATAAAATATCAACTGAAATGGCTTAACTCAATCAAAGGACATATTAACACCAGTGAACATACACTGAACAAATAAATTTGGTCTATGATACTATGTAAATACAAAATAAATAAACTAAGGGAAGAATAATAAAATTAACATGTTATACCGCTGTGAAATGTTAAACAATATAAGAAAAAACAATATGCTCGAACAAAAATATCAGCCATTTGCAATTACTTTAAACACAGGTAAATGAAAATAATTTTGTTGTTAGGTATACGTGTACAGTTCAAATAGAGAAAGGAAATATTTTTACAAAATAAATAATTTTGATGTTCATAGTACGAAGTGAAAATTCATAGTAATACCAAACACTTATCAAAGCTGGTATATAGACCAGAAATAACCCTGAATAACATTAAATAACAAAAAAGCATTACAACTAGTATCAACAGGTCAAATAAACAAGAAAGTACGATTTGAGAGTACTCGCAGTTACTGACAGCTAGTTAAAAGCCAAAAACAATTAATAATAAAAAATCATGCATCAGAGACTAAAATCAACTAAAACACATCCCAGGGATTTAGTATTTTAACATCATGGACAGTCAAAGAAGACATGACTTGTGCAATGCCAAAAATAAATGTATCGACAGGCAGTAGGATAGTTAGGAGCTTAACCTCTTTATAGATCAAAATGAACGTGGGTGTGTCTTTATACATCCCGTTTGAAAAGAATACAAATTTAGTTATGTTTTAATTTGCTGATGACAAAATCGATATAAGGGCCAATGTAAACTATATTCAAAGATCTAATTACAACATTGGTAAGATAACCTTTACTAATAAGTTTGTTTAAAGGTTCGATGAGTTTACACGGATCACATAGTGATTTCCGCGCTTTAAGTACAATATTACGGTAAAATTTAGGATGTGAAATACCGTTTGTAATCAGTTTTCTACAAGTACAGCCAAATTTATTAATCAAATCTTTGTATCTATGAAAGAATTTAGTAAAAGATTTACGTAATTTATGGTAACGAAATCCCTGGCTTAATAATTTACCAGTGATGCATTGATTACGTTCGTTAAAATCTATGACATCACTACACACACGGGCATAACGAACGAGTTTGGATATATAAACACCGTATGATAGAGCCAAAAGGAACATCGCCGTCTAAAAAAGGAAAATTAACAATAGGGAATGAAAAGTCGTCTTTTTTGTCGTAAATTTTCGTACGGAGTTTTCCTTTAGAGATTGAAATGTCCAAATCTAGAAAAGGACAACTACTGCTGTTTATGTTAGATTTAGTTAAAGTAAGTTCTATTTGGTAATTGAAAAATATAAGGGCATACACCACAAGCACGGGGACACATTCTACTGCATCCACACAGCACGAGCAACAAACCCTGCAGTAAATAGATATAAGAAGATGTGGTATGAGTGCCAATGAGACAACTCTCCATCCAAGTCAAAATTTATAAAAGTAAACCATTATAGGTCAAAGTACGGTCTTCAACACGGAGCCTTGGCTCACACCGAACAGAAAGCTATAAAGGGCCCCAAAAATTACTAGTGTAAAACCATTCAAACGGGAAAACCAACGGTCTAATCTATATAAAAAACGAGAAACGAGAAACACTTATGAACCACATCAACAAACGACAACTACTGAACATCAGATTCCTGACTTAGGACAGGTGCAAACAATTGCAGCGGGTTTAAACGTTTTAATGGTACCAAACCTTCACCCTTTTTCTGAAACAATAGTGTGACATCACAACATAGAAAGACACACTATAAAATATCAACTGAAATGGCTTAACTCAATCAAAGGACATATTAACACCAGTGAACATACACTGAACAAATACATTTGATCTATGATACTGTGTAAATACAAAATAAATAAACTAAGGGATGGAAGAATAATAAAAGTAACATGTTATACCGCTGTGAAATGTTAAACAATATAAGAAAAACAATATGCTCGAACAAAAATATCAGCCATTTGCAATTACTTTAAACACAGATAAATGAAAATAATTTTGTTGTTATGTATACTTGTACATATGTAATATAGACAAATATCTCAATTCGCTGATAAAACCGCTATTTGGTATAATGGTAAACATGATAAAAACACTTTGAAAAAATTACAACTACATGTAACTCTAATTATTATAATATAATTAATTGAGAAAACATTCATCCGATTACTCCTCGAACTTAACGGAAAAGACATCAAATTCAAAACTCATTTTAAATTTTCCGGCCTTATCTTTGTCAAAAACCTTGCTTGGAATAAGCACATTTTATATTTAGAAGATAGATGTAAACCAGTACTTCACCTAAAACATTTGCAAAAGCAAATGCTATAGAATCAATTGTTTATGCTGTAGAGATCCCTACTAAGTTCGATCAATACTTGACTATGGCTGCCAACTCAGCTTCTACATGTACAACAACTAAAAACGACTCGATAACATTCAATAAGAACCTAAGGCTTTTCTCGTTTTTTCAATAATATACAGGTGTTTTTGTTTTTGTTTTAATGAACCTAATCCAACATTTTCTCAAAAAGAATAATTGTGAAATGTACAGAAAATTCTGGATTATATCAGCTTAATGCAGGATTGTGGCAAAATCCGGGATTAAGGATGTACACCTCTGAGTAGCCAAAAATTTCTAGAATTAATCTTTTTTTCTTAACCTGATTTTTGGGTTTATATGTCTGTAAGAAAATAATTGATGAAGAAAAAAATCATATGGTGGTGCACTTCTTTTTTTACTACGGCCATCAGAAGAATACATCCTTATTTAATAAAAGTGGGAATGGCGTTCCATAAATTTACACATTGGTTCCTTTTCTTAAAACAATCAATTAACTTAAAAGACATTTTATACTTAGTAAAAAAAATCGATTGCCCGCTAACAGCCCTGTTAACAGACCACGAATCAACGAATTATTTTGAGAAAGAATTTAAAAGGATGACAGGGGCCTCGGTGGCCGAGTGGTCTAAGTAATTACTACTGTAATCACTAGCCAATCAACACTGAGGTTGTGAGTTCGAACCCCACTCGTGCGGGTGCATTCGACTCCAAACTTAATTGACTAGGATTGTCAGTTTTCCTATCGAAGGTCGGTGGTTTTCTCCGGGCACTCCGGCTTCCTCCACCAATACAAACTGGCCGCCACGAAATAGCCCAAAAGCGGTGCTTAAAAGTGGCGTTAAAACACCAAAAATCAAAAATCAAATTAAAGGATGACATATTTGAAAAGGCAGTCAATTATTCCTGAAAAAGAACATCTTAGGTTTACATGAAAGAATTTTATTTTTTAATTCATTAATTTCATTGCGTAGTTACTTAACTTTATATATGAAGTAAAGACTTATTATAAGACACTTAACTTCCTAACATAAAATATATGTACATTGTACATGTGTGCTTTTTAAAAATTACAATAACTTTGTTTAAGGTGAAGACAGTTATTAATAGGAAACACAAAATACAGAGAATTAAAGTTCTAACCGAATTAATATAAAAAAAAATATATCACTTACAATTACTAATCTTATCCATGAAGATTGAAGTTTATCTTCCAACAGTTACTCTATATGTTTAATTTTATTCTTTCTTGTTTTGGCGTCAAAACTGTATTTAAGCTGTTATATGTGTACGCGATGCAATCCTAATTATATCCGAATCATGTTCACGATACATGTTATTTTATTTATAGAAGAAAATGTATTTGTTGCTTGACATGTTCACGGATATATATGTAGTTGAATGTATGACGGCATGTGACAGCGCTTGAAATCAAATTATACAGTCATGTGTGTATAATATTTATTCGACTTAAATAGAAACAATACGCAAATGTAATCGGACAACAACAAGCTTTCAAGTGACATGGATAGGAAATT